CTGGGACTGCAGCACTGGGGACACTCGTGGTCTGGACTGTTAAACCAGGTAAGTGACCAACCCAGATAATCATAAATCAGTTTATCATGGTCACTTACCTGTGTTTCCTCCCCAGAAAATGTTTAATAAACATTTTGAACTTTCCTACTGACTGTCTCGCCTTGAATACTGGGTCCATCTGTCCTTGGTTCATGACAAAAGTAGAGTATCTTATTTATCTTTTAACTCTTCATTAATATGTTATTCCTTTACATTTCTATAAGGTCCACATTTGTGTGACAATTTTTTCTTTAATATTTTTGCTGCTGTAAACACCAGAATTTCCCCATTGTGGAACAATAAAGGGCTTTTCTATTATATTCTCGCCCAAAGTTGGTTAGTTTTAAGCATATCTGTGTTCATCCAAAAGAATAAAACAAATATACATTTCAATTTAGTTGCTGCACTTGTTTCAGGGGTGTTCAAGGGGTAGGGACATACATACAATCAGTAAATATTGGGTATAAGCAATATTGGTAACATTCATTGCAGATATCAGCACTTTATTTTACATTGGGGCTTCCCTAAAAAAGCTTTTTGAGGATTTGTTTGATGCTCAAACACTAAAATAATCAATAAAGAGGCAGCGTGGAAGGAAAGAAAATAATGTTGGAATTTCTGGATAAAATAAATATATTGTGACAACAGAAAGGGGGTGGAAATGTAGTATCACATAGTAATTTTATATACATTTAGTACATGAAGGCATATTCTTGCAAATGAAAAAAATAGAGGAAAAACCTTGTCTGCTGTTTAGCCTACATACACAGAATAAAATATAAGATGCAAGCGGGAAAGATGCAAATTAACATCATTATGATACATTACTAAAGCTGTCTGCTTAGCATAAAACACATGGAAACAGGACTAGGGATGGTTTTTTTTTTTCTGATGTATGGTTTCAGACAGCAGGTCTAGTCTGCTCCCACATGACTGAAGCAGCCAGTAATACTTAAGTTTGTTTTTGTCTCTCTGTAGAAATTATTCAAAGGAGTTTTAAAGATTCACCAGAAACCTTCCTGTCTGCTTTGATGGCCATAGAGAGTTGTGCTGGTGACAAAATTAGACTTGTTTTCTCTTTTAAAGAAAATAATTCACCACTGTTTTCTAAAATGGGATCGTTTGCCGCATCTTTTTTCCAATTTTGAATAACAAAGTTTAGCTGATCCATTTTAATTCCTGAATAGATCATTATATTCTGTTGTTGTCTGGCTCTAAGACCACAACAAATGAAAGCAAAGGAAAGCAATGCATGGGATAACTTAATATTACGTGAGCAAGGGAGTGTTGGCCTAGTGGGTTAGATAGGGTGACCAAACGTCTGTATTTCACGTCCTGTCCCGGGCGTCCCGGGTTTTTTTTTAAAAAGTGAGGAAATGTTCTGTTCTGTTGCGCATGGCGCTGCGTGTGACGTAATCCCTGAGTCGCGTCAGTGCGGGCAGCCCTGTTCTTAATCAGAATATATATTGCATGGCTGTCAGTACACAAACAACATGCCAAAGCGCAAATGTATAGTTACCGTCGATTTACAAAAGAGTTTTCCTGCTTTCAGAGCAGTTCGAGACACATTGGATGCCTTGTGCACAGTGTGCAAAGCAGGCACATATGTCTCGGTGTCCAATGGAGGTGCAAGGGATCTGAAAATCCACCTGGACTCCGAAAGTAAAGATAGTCTATTGATATGTTTGTTCGTTTTTGGTACATTTTGTGTTATTTTTTCTACATAAGAGGTATTTTTTGTTAATTAGCTCATTTGTTAATTTATTTTTTACCAATAGCCGACATTATTTCGTTTATTGCTGAGGCTGAGTATCATGTGTTATTGGGAGTTGAGAGTTATTGTTAACTTTTATTGTTAAGTGAGGGATGTTTAGACATTATTTCTTTCATTGTGCTTTTCATTCATTACAGGAATTGTTAAGCAAA